GTCCTCTCTGTCTTTGAGGAGAAAAGTTTACACATATGCTTTCTACAACTTCAGGTAGTTTCAAATGCCTGCGTAGCATTCCTTGGTTATAAAGCAGGGCCAAGTGATGATACCGCAAGATCATGAAGAGCATGATGGTGCAAGACCTCCATCCTGTCAACACTTTCGATTGAATTCTGGATCTAGGTTTTTTGATCTCTGGAAATGGTGTAATTGTGGTCAACCTGCCAAGGTCAGTGTACATAGTTTTAACAAAGACGACACTGCTATGAGGTTTTTTCTTTTGGTGAAGTGACTGTCTTCGAGGACGAATGCTAATCCACGTTACACCTCTCCATCTTGGACAGTATAAGAATTCTGATTTCTGTCCTAAAGCTGCTTGGTGGCTAGGTGCTGTCAACATTTCCTGGTTGGAAGACTAATTATGCCCTTTCTTTTTTCATGAAGGAAAAGGAAAATGGGATGCTGAAATAGATGATCTAGAGAAAACACTGTAAGGATCATACAGACATAGTACTGAAAGTGCCCTAGCAAGTTAAAGCAGTAATATTTCACTAAGATGCTCAGATCAGTCAGAATAATTGCAAGGAACTCGGAAAGAGGGCAGCGCACTCTCTTTTTTATATTGCCATGAGTGGAGTGGGATAAGTTAGAGGTCTACCCCATGTGTAGTACTAGAGTATTTACTAGAAACAGTCTCGTAATATATATAGGCACATCCACAGTATCAGTGCATAGCTCACCTCAAAGAATAAGTGTTAAGGGAATATAACTTGTTTTTCTAATTTAACAGAGGGTTGGTATAACAAAGTGAACTGCCTGGCTGTCCAGGTGAACATATCTATCTTCACTGGTCAAGAACTCTAACAAAATTCTGTTTGTATCAGTGGCTTCATGAAAAGTTGTTGCACTCTTAAGCAGCTAACCGGTTTGAAGCAGCCACTTTACTAAAAACTATGCTCTTGCATAAACATTCAGGAATGATGCTGAACTTGGCAAAATAAAAAACGGAAATCAAAACCAGCTGTTGTGTGCTAGAAGACTGAAGGCTGTCTCCAGATTATCTGTAAACATGAAAGCACTGCTGATTGGGAACAAACATAATGACACTTTTTCAAAGACAAGGTCAATATTGTCATATAGAATTATTAGAGATGGGTTAGCCACACTTCTGTTTCCTTCCGTTAGTGTCTGCTTGCTCTTCTGCAACTCAGAAGAGGGAACCACTGTGTTTAAGGCATGCACGCTGAGTGAGGGAAGCAAATGAGCATTCTGCATTACGCAAAAAATTCTTAAGCTCGAGTATTTGCAAGGTGTGCGTGTTCAGTGAGAATTCACCTGTAGGTAATCCAAGTTCAGTTGTTGTTTAATAACTTCCTTTCTTGTCTTATATCTCATAACATGAAAGTATTAATAATGTGGATTCTGGAATTGGGATTCATGTTATAAAGTTGAATGAAATGTAAATGGGGGGGGGCAAAATTATAAAATGAGGTTTGGTTGTTGGTTTTTGAAATTTGGGGAGGGGCTGCATATTTGATTTGTGAGTGAAATGTGATTTCACAAATGAATGGTGAAATACAACTTACAGTGATTTTTGTCACAGAATCACAAAATGGTTGAAGTTGAAAGGGACCTCTGGAGGTCATTTGGTCCAACCCCCCTACTCAACCATATATCACCTAGAGCCATGACCATGTCCAGATGCCTTTTGAATATCTCCAAGGGGGGAGACTCCACCACCTCCCTGGGCAGCCTGTGCCAGTGCTCGGTCACCCTCACAGTAAAAAAGTGTCTCCTCATGTTCAGAGGGAACCTCCTGTGTTTCAGTTTGTGCCCATTACCTCTGGTCCTGTCACTGGGCACCACTGAAAAGAGCATGGCTCCCCCTTCTTTGCACCCTCCCTTCACGCGTTCATACACATTGATGAGATCCCCGAGCCATCCCTTCTCCAGGCTGAGGAGTCCCAGCTCTCTTGGCCTTTCCTCATATGCTTCAGTACCTTAATCTTCTTAGTGGCCCTTTACAGGACTCTCTCCAGTATGCCCATGTCTCTCTTGTACTGGGCAGCCCAGGATGGGACAAAAAAGGAAACTGTTACTGGAGATAACATTCTTTGAAAATGGTTTTAAACCCATATGTAATGCATAATAGTAAAGAATATTAGTGATGCCCTGTAAGAGGCATATTTAACAATGACAAATTTACATAAGTGCTCCTAGTGAAACTTCAAACTATAAAAACTGTATTCTGTAAGTAACAGCTAGAGGTACTTGGTGGGGCTTGTAATTTAATAAAACAACGTAAACGGAGGTGTCTGACAAAGAAGTATCTAAATTTTGTGACTTCAGCTGTCTGAAGTCAGGACTTTCTACAGCATCTGATGAAGGCAAATCTGTGTCAATTTGTAGCCAGAATGCTTTGCTTTCAGACAGGTGGCTTTATTAATGTTCTGAGGAGTGCTGTAGTCCTCTGAGCTTTTTTGTGTGGTTAAATAAGAAACTATAAGTAGTTGGTATCAGAGTATTTTTTCTTAATGGTCACCCTGTAACAGTCATAAGCTGGTTCCAACAGGGCTTCTGGAGTATGATGCTAGTATATGTAATGGCAAATCAGTGTTGATTATGAATAAAATGCTCAGTGGATCCATTTTTTTTCCTACCTAATGCTGAGTTCCAATTTACTACTTAATTTCTTGCTAAGAACTCCGCTTGTGATAATCATCTGCTTTCTTCTTCTTGACTCTGTTCAGCCTTGAATTTCAGCAGTAGATCATTTCTAAACTGAAAGGAAGCAAGAGCTAAAGGATACAAGTACTTACTTGTATCCACTATGTGGATTGAAGTTGGGGTTTTTATAAACCTCATTACAAACATATCCCAGAGTGTTTTCAATTTATAAATGCCTGCTAGTGACTTAGGGTATGAGTTTTTCATATTGAAATTTAATTGTAAGAAATTATTTTAAATGATACAATACCAATTTTTTAAACTGCCAAAATTATTTTGGGGGTTTTAAACACTGAATTTTGCAAGGGACAAAAAATACCTCAGACATGAATTTAAGAAAGAAATAAAACTAATTTTCAAATATTGTTTCAGAAATTCCTTCTTTCATATTAAAAGCTAAAATAATTGGAAAAGGTAAAAAAGGTAAAAACAAAATATAATTGAAAATCAGAAACACCAATTATGTATAGTAAGGATTGTAATTGTTCCTCAAAAAAGCTACTACTAATAATTCTGCATGTTTTGAAATGTTTTTAGTGGGCCTTCTCACCAGCAAAAGGTACCTGAGATCATAAGGGTTCTGCTGTACCACTGTGTACGTTCATATACAACTTCTCAGTCTGTTTCTTGTCACTGTAGTATCTTGTAGCCTAGCTTTATTACGTAAGGTGGAGACAAAAAAGACATAATTTTGCAGATGATTTGCTGAATTTGCAGCTAACTCAATGATAACAGTTTTCATCCATTTCTTTTGATATATTAGCATTATAAATTGTTTCCATAAATCTCAGCTTGGCTGCAGTATCTTTACTCTTTGGAGAGGTAGCAAGCGAAGAACAGTTTCATTTTGTATTCTTCACTTCCCTTCCTTTTCCTTCTTCCCCTTCTTCCCCCCTCCTCCCTCCCAGGTGAAGGAAAATCAAACAGAGGGATATATGAATAGCTTTAGATTGGCTGATGCCAGGATGGAGGGCTAGGAATTTCTGAGGTTTTTTTTTTGTTTTGCTTTTTATCGCGCTATTTTTCTTTTAGATAACAGGTACTGGAAAAGTTAATCAAAGAGGAACAATAGTGTGTCAAAAGGAAAGTGGAATCATGAAAAGTTTATTATTTTATGGTTTTATCTCAGAAGTTAATATTTCAAGTTAATATTTGAACAAAATGAGGCCTATAACTATTTTAAACTCAGAATTTTACCCCAAAAAACCAGTCACAGTATATATATTTTAATAAATACAGTTTAATAATATGCTGTTGGACTGTTTAATTTTTATGCCTCAGGGTAGCACTGAGCACTATTTCTACTTGTAGAAGCTTCCTCTCGTTAGTGTAGTACATTCTCTTATATAGCACCTGTTTTAAACTCCAAATCTGAATCTACAAATGTAAAACCTGACTTTTGAAATATTTGCTTTTTTGAACACTCTTCTTTAAAGGACCTATCAGGATCTCTCCCCAAAATGCTAGAAGCTTGAAGGATAAGGGAGGAACAATGTTGCATGGCCCAAACACATGTGCTTTCGTCATTAGCAAGGTACAGCATGACCTCATGTTGACCTCAAAGGTAAATCGCTAACAGGGAACAATTATACATGCCTGTGAAAGCAGCTTAGTTTTGAACATAATCAAGACAATAACTTCAGTGTGTAGAATAAAATTAAATTTACAACTCTGTCTGTCTGCCTTTCTCTTTCTCTCTCTTGTCTCTCCCCAAGTCTCTTCTTGAGAGAATGTTGTGTTTTTTATATATGTGTGTGTTGCGAAAGAAAATTACTTTTCTAGAGGTCATAATAAATTCCTAAATATGGGGAACCCAAAGGATCTTGTATCCAATTTAGTCAAATTGTACATCTTACAATGAAATGCTCTTTTTAATGGAAAGGTTTCATTTGCTGTCTAGAGTATTGATAATTGCAGCCTTCAGAATGTGGTGTCTATATTACCTTGGGGAATCTTGTGTAGTTCTGAAATGTATATAACATTTAGACTTCCAGGAAAGTTTTTTAAATATCAATAGGTTAATTTTTGTGTGCTTATCTTAGACTGCCACACAAAGCTATGACATTTTATTTTTTCGTAGAAGACTGTAAATATTCGTTAGCGTTATGTGATACATTTCTACATATGATGGAATATGATCTAGCTAGCAGTTCTGAGCTTTTTGGAGGAGAATTGCTGCCAGCATCTTGGAACTGTTAGCCATATCTGTCCCATGTGATTTGTATAATATAATTGTTTGACATGAATTTTATTTTCTTTTTTTTTGCTAGAATGAGAGAGCATATTCCTTCTGTGGAACAATAGAATACATGGCTCCAGATATTGTAAGAGGAGGAGATACAGGACATGATAAGGTATGTTCTATCTAAGTTTATTACTGAAAAGAAATTAATTCTTTAGGCAACCCTGTTGTTCAGTTTGAGGGGTTTTTGTAAAATGTGATAGTGTCTTATTTAAACATGTCTTATTTCACGTTGTCCTAAAATAGATTATTGCCTATATTTAAAAACATGAATATGATGTATTTTCAGTTTTTAATCTTTAGTAAAAGGCATATTTTGTAAAGGTATTGAGGCTCATTTGTGTTCTATTCAAAATTTGTTCTAAACCTGCAGTGGGACAAAAAAACTTAGCTGACACTTACTTCCTTTTAAATAAAAAACTATTTAGTTCAGAATGGAAAAATGGCTGTTCCGTGGCTAATTCTGATATATTTTTTAAATTGTACATCAGGGAAATCTATTATCTTTCTTGAAGCATGGAGTGGGTTATTAATGTTATAGATGTTCTCAGATTGTAAAAATTAATTCTGTTTACCTTGAGGCTCAAGTTTTATTATGAATTAAAGTGTCAGTAATTGATGGGAAAGATCAAGACAACTGTAATTCACAGATGATATTTGAAACCAAAAAAACCCAACTCACCGAAAGAATTCTACAGTATTCCTAGATAAATTATTCTGATTATACTGAGAAGTTTTGGAGAATATTTAATCTCTGGATTTTTTTGCTGTAGGATTGAGTTGACTTGTCTTTGTGTTAGGGGTCACGGAATATAGTTGATCACAGTTCCTCTTATAAAAGCCTTTTTAAGCACTGGAAAATGTTATGTCACCCATCTCCTTTTTCTAGACTAACTGGACTCAGTCTGACTTTGCCTGAGAAGGTTTTTTATCCTTCTCTGTGCATTCTGCTTCTCTTTTGGTCTGAGTTTGCCTGTATATTTCTTCGGGTAGGGAGCACTATAGTGGGCACAGTGTTTCAGCTAAGAGTTGGCAGTTTGAAGTACAGCAGAATGATTACCTCCCTGATTCTTCTATTAAACATAAAATAGAATGTGCTTTGACTTTTCACTTAGTCATTGTCTCACACCTACTTTGTATTACACTATAACCTCTGCATCTTTTTCTACCGTACTGCTTGCCTAGTCATTATTAAAAATGGAATTTTATGAACTTATGAATTGAAGCTTTTTCCTGCACTCTAGTTCTTAGTTTAGTCTTGCCAGTTTCAGAGCATCTCTCCAATGTGTCAGTCACTTTGAATTGTGATTCTGTCCTCTCACGTGCCTACAAATTCAAATTGTTGCTGATTTAAAGAGGAGTCTCTGTTCTGTTATCTTTGGTTCTATCTAATACTTTCATTAGATGTAGTGCAGAGCTATACAGTATTCTGTAAGAAATAGCTTCGCAGTTTCATACCAAATGTTAGCTGATAAATAAGGGTGATTTTTCAGTTACCTATGTGATGGTAATTGTTTACACCACACACTCTTTGCCTCACCATTGGCAGTGTTATGTGATGCAGTGTTAGAAGTTTTTTAGTGTATTTCATATTTACTGCGTATCTAGCAACTCAAAGATCTTATTTAAAAAAGAGAAAATGGGATTGCTTTAGTATGCTATGCTCTCATTAACCAATGTGTTTGATTTGTAATCTCTTCTAGATAGCTGTATTTTTGGTCTAAAAGACTTACTCTAGTATTTCAGTATTTATTTTTTTAAAGTTTGATTTCTGATTCTGCAGATCCTCCTTTTCTTTTGGAAAAACACATGCCAAGAAAAAATTCTGGGATTTTCTCTGATCATTGTGTATTTGCAAACGTAATTACTAACAGTACAGAGACTTCTTCAGCTAGTTCTTCTAGGCAGTCTTGGCTGATTTTGTCTATCTTGAAGCAAAAAAACTAAAATGTGAGGCCAAATTGTCATCACTTCACTAACTGTCTTCCCATGTTGTATTAATGTTGTTAACGTAAGTAAAGCAGAACTTCAGTTTCATTGATTTGCAAATTTCGTGGAAGTAAAACTGAGAAGTTCAAACACCTGTAGTTAAATTAATTTTGTTGACATGACTAAACTGATTCCTTTATTATTCATAGTAACATCTTCTCTTTTGAAAGAGAGAAATATTTTGTAAGTTATGAGGTATCAGAGATATTAACAATGAACAATATGATTAATATATGAGAAGCCAAAGATCACTTGTGTTACCAGGGAATATAAGATAAAATTCCGTAGCATTTTCAGGTGCCCTCATTAACTGTGATCTGTACTCTTAAATTGTGCTTTTTGAAAGTTCCTTAGTTTCATTCTCAAGCTCCTAAAAGCTCAGGTTCCACTACTTCCTAGCGAGGCTTAGGTTCCTCTGTTATTTCGAGTGCATTTTAGAATTCTTATCATTTCACAATGGTAAAAATAAAAATTAATTCTGGGGGGACTACTTTAGTAGTCAGTGGAAAGAGTTCAGCTTGAGAAATTAGTTGAATTAGTTGAATCAGCTAAGTGGAGAGATTTCAGAATAAAATTATCATAGAAATTACGTCCAATCAGTACTGCAATTGTTTGTGCTTTATTGTATCCAGGTTTGCCTTTTTATTGATAGGTGGGCTCTTCCTTTGCTAGTTGCTTTCTGGGTGCATTTTTTGTTCCTTCTTTTGTTAACAATTTTACTTCAACGTATCTTAACATATATAATTATTGTTGTTCTATAGGCTGTTGATTGGTGGAGTGTTGGTGTTCTTATGTATGAATTATTAACAGGAGCATCACCATTTACAGTTGATGGAGAGAAGAATTCCCAAGCAGAGATTTCTAGGTAAGATTCAAAACAGTAAAGTAAATGTGCTTGCTCAAAGTGGTACTTATGCCATAATACGTTTTTTGAGAGTTTTAATCTAAAATTTAGGAAGAAAGTAACATTTTTAGGTGTTCAGTTCTGTTTAACAGAATGACATCTGGAAGCAGATAGGTTTTATTAATCTCAGGAGGTTATTGTAATAATAGAACTGACCTTTACGAAAGACCTGTGTTGTTTAAACTACAGTGGAACCACAGCTTTGTAGATATTCAACCCTGTTGCATGTTTACTGTTGAAAAGGAAGTCAAATGAAATACGAAATGATATGTAAATAGAATTATCACATTCAAAATCTTGATACATAATGAAACATATATTTAGCTAGAGAGATTTTTGTCAGCTCTTGCTAGATCACTCCATCAGACTACAGGTTTAAAGTGTCAGGACGTACCCCACTCCCACCTTTTTGTCACAGGTAATATTTATTTTGTTAGTGTATAATGTGAAACAAAGAATGTGATCTTTTCTAGCCATACTTGCATATCTGAGAAGAAATGAAATAACCTATAGCATTCTTATATTATACATGTAAACTTTTCCTGACTATCAGCTTTGTTACATTCAATAACCTCTACACTTCAGAGGTTTGTTTTCAGTACCCCTGTAAAAGCATTGGAGCATTTTAAAAAGACAAAGCAATAAGCTTGCCCAAAACCCGGGAATCTCCCCCCAAAACGAGCATTTCCTATTACTGGATTTCTCTTGGAGCGGGAAGTTGAGGGCTTAAATTGCACAAATTAGTAACCGCTGTCAAGATCAGCTTGTAAGTCCAGTCCCCAAACTAAGAATAGTCTTGCTTCTATTGGAATGTATTACCATGGTTCTGACCCTCACCAGAAGTCACCTGATATTTAAGGTTATAATGGACAACAGAACATACATAAATTATTTAGATAATTTATTTTACTTCTGTTATAAATTCAGATGATTTCTTGGAAGGTTGAGACCTGTTTATTGGTTTCTACATCTCTACCAGAACAGGAGACTTAGAGGGCCACTAGAAAAAATACAGGAGGGGAGGGGAATCCATTAACAAAACAAAATTCCGGACTTTACCCTCTTGGTCATTATGACAGTTAAAACTTCTGTTAACTCTTTCTGACCTATTTAAGGTTAGAAATTTTGTTGATTGCTTACTTATGCCATGTCCGAATTGGTAATTTTGACTCCCAAGATTTACTAAATGGAACTCTGAAGGAGTTACAAATTTTTTTGAGAGAACCTTGACCTGAACTTTACAGATACAGTTTTTCCCAAAAACTGGAAAAGTTTTTAGGTATGTATTCTACAGGATTTCACTGTCTTTTGGTACGTCCTTGTGTACTCTTTAATATCTTAATCTTTCTGATAATATAAGATTAAATTCAAAGCTGAGAAACTGCAAGGTTGCTAACATCCATCCTCTGCTGGCTAATAACGTAATTTCTGATCTAAATTTAGTTGTGGCAAGTTTACTGTGTTGTTGCTCCGTATGCTTTTATTCTGGTTGGTATTCATGCTACACATCTACAGACAGCAATTCTGTAGTCTTTCAGCTTTTATTTTGATAAATTTAGGAGGTAAATTCTTACAGTTTTCTGTATTTAAAGATGTTCCCCAGTCTTCCTGTTTCCTGAAGAAGCCTTTTCTTAACTCAGCTTGTGTTGTTGTTTCTTACATATGGACAATTTATTCCTGTTGATTTTTCAAGAGGGTCTTGTTTAAGGGAAGTAATAATTCACCATCTGAACAAAAAGATATTCCTTCCTTTTTTCTTGGGTTCCTCTTGTTGATGCCAATGATGGACGGATAGATCTAATTCCTTCTCCTTTTCTATCACTTCCAACTGATAAGCCCCTATTTTGTACCTGAAATCTCCCAACTATATGACTGCATTTCAGACTTGATTTCATCTGTCTTTACTTCAGTTCTCATAAGACCCATGGTTTCTGGATCCTTTCCATTGATAGCAATTTCTGTGCTGGATGACATCCGTTTTGTGTGTTTGCCGTTTATTATGTAATGAATGTTATGTTCCTTTTAGGAGTGTGGCTGAGCATATGAGAACATTGCTGTTTTCTCTGTCCTGGCTGCCACACTGAGTCATGTGGAACCTTCTGGGGAATGGTGGTTGCTGCATGCTTTGGGGAGCAACGGGAGTGTGTTTGGGGCTTTCCCTGAGTGGGGGGTAGAGCAGGAGGAACAGATGTGAGATATAAGCAGGCTGTGGTGCTCCTGCAGCCCAGGCAGAGGGTGAGAAGAGTAGGGTGCAGAAATACATCTTAGAGAAGATGGAAAGAAAACCTTTTTCTAAGGACTGAAGGGAACTGTGTAGAGTTTGCTGCAACTTGGGAAGCTGTTGAGCTACTCGCTAGAGAGCATCCCTGAAAGAAATGATCCGCCCTTCCCGACATGCTAGCCTGTTAAATTTAGAAATTCTTGTTACCATATTCATGGCTTTTCAGAAATACCCTCCTTGTATTTATCTCTAGCATGAGTACGCTAAGATCTTTCGAGAAGTAACAGCTGAATTGTCAGTACCTGTCTTTATCCTAAGCCTGTCTGGCCTAGAAGCTATGATCTTCATTTCCTTTTTTCTTTGATAATTTTGTCACTGGGGGTACATTCACAATTTATACTTAATGTGCTTTTTTTTTTTGATAATTCTTTCAATTATGTCTGCAGCCTTTTCTATAAAGTTTTCTGTTGAATTGGGATGCAGACTCTTTTACACCTATATTTAAATAAGTTCCAAATTCTCTCCCTGACTATCTTTGATTTTTCAGTTTTGTTTCCTCTCTAAACTGCTGAAAAAATGAATTGCAGATAACTTCATCAGATATTTACGGTTGCCAGTGGTAATGAAATCACTAACACTGTCACAGAGGTATGAGTTGGTACAAACTTCTTTCTTGATGCCAAAGGTATTCTAAACAGAGATTGTATTCCCTAACCTAAATATACTTTAACTTGCCAATTGCAGCAGACTTAAAAAATTCAGTTTTCTCTTACTCAGTCAGAAGCCCTGAAAGCATAGTTTCCATGGCCTTTCATTTTTCTGAGTTTAAGGAAAAAAGTCGTCTTCTAAATGAATCCAGGTCCTTCTTTTATTTTACCTAGGTGGGAAGTAATCTTACATATTTTTAGATAATTTTATTCCCTTGTGTGGCACAATGGCTATCTGCTGTTAAATTTGAGCACGAAGTTTTGTTCTGAAATATCTCTCTAATGGACAGTTCAGTTCTTCTGTCAGAAATAGTTACTGTGTGGTTTCTATCTTTTTTACTCTTTCTGATGAGAGATTGTGTTCAGTTCTTTTGTTCATAATCTTTTTGACAACACTGCGGACTTCTCTTTCATGGCAAGTGCAACTTAAGTGCATACTTTAATTTTCCCTGTCTCTGTCTTTCTCTCTGAAGACTCTTTTTGTTCACATGCTTGGTGTTATGGGTTATTAAACTTGATAAAAAAAAATTCACAGAACTATTAAAGTATCCCTCCTTTTCTAGTATGCCCTCTGCCCTTTCTTCTCCTTTCTTCCCAAATCTTCCTTTCATTTGAGAATTCTGGACTTCCATTGCTGCAGAGCCGTGGATGGGACCCATCCTGCAAAAGCATAGGCAAGGGCCGGGTTTGATTACAAACCCAGTATTTTCAGTTTCACTGTGAGTTATTTGTAGTGCTGACTTGACAGACAAATCCATTTTAGGGTGTTCACTTTTGAGTGCCTTGTCATACATACAGGGATTTAAAATGAGCATGAAGTTTTTTGGAGTATTATTTTGCTGTTATGCAGGAGCTTAGAAAATCTTACCAGCTTTGGGGTTATGAATAGATAGATATCTGTCTTTTCCATTTTTATACATATATCCATCTATAAAATAATCTGTAGAAGCATATAATAACATGTTAGCATACTAATGCTAATAGCAGCCTATGCTCTTTATTTGACATAGTTGGTTAGACTTTATTTAAACTTCATGGAGGATGGCTGAAAGTTGACCATCCGTTAGATGTTATCAAGATACTTTGTCCACAATTCTGCAAGAAACCTTTTCTTAATAAAACTGTTGGGAAGATGCATAGCAGGTATATACTGGGATTGCCTTCTTTATTCTCTGCCTGTGAAGACTCCAGTGATTGCTAGATCTTTTAAAGGACAGAGCAGTCATTAAATCCAACTTGTAATTTGCATGTTCTCTTCTGGAGTTTCATCCTAGAGCTTATAGCTGTCTACCTAGAATGTACAGCATTTACATGCCTAGACAGGAGTCTAGAGTCCAAGAACTGATAGACAATAATGTAATGATGCTTTTCTAACAGATAGCAATGAATTAGGAAATCTCTGCCACATGAAGGAAACCATTTGATGCTAGACTTAATGTGAATCACATCACATCAGTGACTCTGCCTGCAGATCAGTTCAACCTTTCAGTAAAGCAGATGGTTTTAAGAATGTCGTAAGTATTGCATCAAAGTCTCTGACTTGCCTAGAACTGGGGATGCACACATAAATCGACTGCTCAAAGCTAGAACAAAAGAATCCGGTATTAGTAGTTCTGAGATGACAGGGTATTCAGTAGAGTTGTTCTCAAATGTGAAGGTGAAAGCTCTGCTTTGGAAACTTGTCCCTCTGCCCTTTAACAGGGTTACAGCTTGGCATTGCTTTCTCTAATTCCCTGAACATCAGGATGGATATGTATCTCTGTTTATAATGCAATTCTGAGAGCACTGATAATAGACTATAGTAACAGTTCTAGCATAAACCTAATGCTTCTGTTGGTCAGCTATGGTGATCCTTTCAGTTTTTTGTGATCTGATTGTGTCTTTTACCTGGTGGAAGCAAAAAAGCTTCAGGTTCTGCACTTTAGATGTTTTATTATCATCTCTTCCACAGTCAGGTTCAGGCATCTGCTTTCAGGCTAATCACAGTGGAGGGTGAAAGCTGGCTTCTGTCTCAGTATCGCATATTTTATGTC